AAAAAAAAAAAACAAATAAATAAATAAAAAAGTTCAAGTTTTTCAAAAATATTTTTTTTAGTTTAACGTACAAAGCAATTGAAATTGCATGAATTTCTTAGATGAAGTATCTATTACTATTCTTCTGTTTTTGTATACAAGTGTTACAGTTTTCTACCTAGGATCAGGGTGTAGTAACTGCCAGATCCCCAGCCTTTCTAAGCTGGAACCAATTACAATTTCTTACTGAAAACTGACCATGAGAATACTAAAAGTGGAGGAAGAAAAGGGTACATATTAATTTATTGCAAGTTTTTTTGTTTTTATAGGAACACATTTATAGAAAATTTTATACACAAAATGGGTATATTAGATTATTGAAAGTTTTTTTAATTTAACAAAAAAAAATTGAATGAATGTAGGAACACATTTATTCAAACAATTTTTTTTTTTATACATCTGTTTCATTGTTTGTTGATCGATTTAAGGAATGTGTTATTTAACCACTGATTCCATCATTTTCTCTTATTCTGAAGCCTAAAACTTTTGCTAACTCACAACCATGTTCAATAAAATTTCCATCTTCCATTATTCGAGTTTTATAACTCGAACTATTACCATTGCAAAATCTCAAATTAAAGTTTCCTTCGCTTGGTAAGCTCCTGGATTTTACACAGAATATTTTCTCCAGGTTGTGTTCCCCAAAGCTCTCATTAAAATTTTCTACGAAAGGATCCACATACCTCCCCCCTTTTGTTCTAATACGAAATTCACATGGGTAATGGGGCAAGAAGAATACCAAGAAATTACAGTACAGAAAGTATCTTCAGTGGCCCTTTTATGGGCTTTAGAAATAACCATTTGATTAGGAGTTTATGCTCCCAAATGAAAGCATCCCTACAGGTACATTCATTCAACCATTTGCATAGGTCTCATAAACTGAATTAAATCCCCACCCAGAAGTCCATGAATGCAAATGGAATTTTTACCTCCTTCAAAATTGGTTGCCAATTTATAATTTAACTTGTTTAGATTTTCCACAATATTATGAAATCCATCAAGATTATATTGAATATCAAATTCATCCGCAATCTGAATAGGCAAAGAAGAATGAAAATCATTAACCCTTTGAGCCCTGCATTCCTGAACAATTTTAATCCTTCTGTCTGAGCTCCTGCGTCAAAATTCACAGATAATTGCTATGTAATGTTTCACGATAGATATAAAAATAGTTACCCACTGTTCAACCGTTGGTTGGGCATTACATCATTTTTTTCTCTACCACTGGTAAAGTGGTGGTCAGGGCTCAAAGGTTTAAATCCAATATCAAACATTACTTTTTTCAGTTTCCTTTGCTTGGCACCAAAAATGTCTTTACTCTAAACTCCGTAATTGGAAGAAAATTATTTTTAATGACATTAGTTGAAATGTCATCAGTGTTAGAAATTTCACAATTCTCATTAGCATCAGAAATTCCACAATTTTCATAATCAACAAAGATTAGAAATCTCACCAATTGTTTTAATTTGTTCACCTATCTTAGCTAATATTTCAATGCATCACATAGGAATTGTTCAAAATTACAATCATCAGTTTGATTCTTCAATGTAAATATAATCTATCTGGTCAGTAATAGCTGCAATGGTATCTAACCATCTATTAATTGCTTCTGAGCAGAGTGATGGACTTCTAGAATATTCTCTTTGGCCTTCACCAAGTTTATAGACCTCTCAATCCTTTCTTTGAACATATGTCTCCTTTTTTAATAGTCTAAAACCTTCCTCCATTTTCAGATAAACTAAAGGTATTTCACTGGAAGAGTAAGTAATTTTATTCAAAATGAATTTCAGGACCCAAAATATGCTTAAGGATTACAATGCTGAAAAAGAATTTTCATTTATATTATTTATATTGACTGTCCTCATCTTTATTGCCATTTTCAGGACTTTCATCTTGTTGTCTCCGGCCTTCTTCAAGTGATTCAAATTTTGAACTGGACACTTTATTTCCTCAGGGGTGGTGTTAGATTGTTCTAGTTCCATGTACCATGCCTCTTCCAGATGTCTCAGTTATCTCCCTTTAAATCAACTCACCATAGGCAGGTATTAAACTAACAACTCTTTGGGTCAAGTCACTGGATCCAACCAACACTTTTATCCATTGGCATCAGTGTATGAATTTTTGGGACCTATAAACTTAATGCCTCATTATCTTTTTTTACCAGAGCTCATATTTCAATTTTGTTGTTATTATTGCTTTTCTGTAGCACTCCATATTACTGGTTCCTATATTGTATTCATTTCTTGCCGGCTGAGGAGATTTTTGTGGCCTAAGATATGTGCCAATTCCTTAAGTTTTCGTATTTTCCAATGATGTTCTCTGTCTATTATTTCAACCTTATCTGATGTGATAAGCTACATCTGATTTTTCTATTTCCCTTCATGTTACAGCATTACATTGTTCTTGCAGTTTTAACTTAAAAGGGGGAGCCTGTTTCTCCTTTATATTTCTTAACACAGCTGCACCATAGTGGTGCCAATATGAAAGAAGGGTAGCAAGAAAGACTGCAATACCTACAGGGGCATATCACTACTCAGTCATGAAGGAAAATTGTATGCAAAGATCCTTGAGCAGCGCACTCAAGTAAAAACAAAACATCTCAGTGACACCCAGTGCAAAGATTGCATCGGTGCACCCACTTCTCTTCTGACAACTGTGAGAGAGGACGATGGAACATGACCAAGATCTTCATTTGGTATTCATGGATCAGGAAAAAGCCTTCGATCAGACAGAGAAATTGAGACCAGATGTCAGAAAGCCAACGCAGTCAGTTACCAACTTGTCCTCTTCTAAAACATCCTAGTATTTCCATGAGCACCAAGGCAAATCTCATCAACACCATTTTCCTATGCTGACATACCAGTGCCAGATATGGCCCCTAACAAAACTCCTTGAGAGGGAATCTGATCAATTGTGAGATGAAATTCCTGAGGAAAGCAGTGAACAGTGAGCAATACCAATCATACAACATATCAAACGACAGTGGATCAAGTGGTTCGGACAACAACACTCATATGCCTATCAATCAACCAGCCCTACGAGCATACAGCCTCAGGTACTCTGGCTGGAGAGCAAGAGGCAGACCAAGAAGACACTGGAGCAACTCAGTGGCAAACACTCTCAGAGCCCACAAGATATCTCTCCTCCGGGCCACTCGCCTTGCCACTGATAGACGACTGTGTCTCCTCTCAACATGTAACAGTACAAGTGGAAGGAAAAACTAAACTACCAGAGCTGCATAAGATGGCATACACAGACCACATCCTTACTCTTCCTTTGATATTTTGGTTACATTCTTTATATTGCAAATATTATAGAACACAAAAGATAGCTAGAATGATCAAAATTCAAGTTAATGGCATAAATCCCCAGTTAACAATGGACTTTGACCTCAAATCTGTTGATAACTGGGGTAAAAGAGAGCTTAATTTTAACAACTCCAAAACTAAATTTCTCTCCATTAATCATCTGAGAAACCACTCTCTGCCTTCCATCAGTATGGCTGATGCTAACCTCCAGGAAAGTGACTCATTGTACCTTCTCAGCTGACATGAAGTGAAAAAACTATTGAATTCATTGCTAGGTCAGCTGTTAAGAAAGTTGGTACACTGTGTTGTGCAAGACAATTTTTCTCTCCAGTACCTATTTTACATATCTATAAGTCTACCATTCACCCATGCTTAGAATATTGCTACCACATATGGTCCAGTTCCCCTGCTATTTACTTTGAGCTCCTTGATAAAATCCAAAGAATAATCAGTAATATTATTGGTCCTGATCTGGTGGACCAACTTCAGTCACTTTCCCACCGACATAAGGCTGCTCCTCTGTGCCTTTTCTATAAATACTTTCATGGTAATTGCTTGGATGAGCTCTTCGCTATGGTACCTAGACTTTGAATTTAAGTGCATTACTAGACTGACATCAAAATCCCATTGCTTTAGAGTTGAATTGACTAGATATAACTGTAAATTCTATGCTAACAGTTTCTGTTCTTGCACTTCTCACTTATGGAACTCCCTTTTGGCTCCATGCTTGCCAGCCAGCTTTACTCTGCAAAAATTTAAATTCTTCCACACCCGGTAACCCCTTGTGCTTTTACTGTCTTGCATGGAGTGATACCAATTAAAAATAAGAATCAATTTTTAAAATTCTACAGCAACTATGAAGTTTGTTTCTTTGTAGAATCCACATAAGATTTCTGTAAAATAATTACTTTTAGAATATTTATAAAACCAATCTTTTAAAACATATTTGAATGCTTGAAGATATAGAATTAAATTTCAGTTAATGAAATCATTTCATATTTACCATCTCTATAAAAGTCTGAATGATAATAGAAATTATGATCATAGCCTTCTCAAAATAAAGCATTTAAAAAATAAAAATCATATTTATATAACAAATATTATAAGTCATCTTTCATATAGCAATGGTTATCAGTGCTAATCTAGTCTGAGCTTAGTAAATATGAAAACTACTGTATTTGAGTATTAGGTTAGCAAGCTCTTGTTAAGAAAGGTAGATCAACATTAATGTTTTACAATAGACTAAGCTTCGTTTTGGAAATTTCAAAGCAACTGACAGAATCTTACAGACCAATGCTGCAAAAATTTAAATTCTTCCACACCCACAAGATATCTCTCCTCAATAAATAAATTTATAAATAAACATTAATTTGCATAAAAAAGTGCTATTTGAATTAAACAATAATTTCCTTAAAAGTGTATATTAAAAGAGAGAGAAAAATGGGTTACTTGACACCTGGTGTGTGTGTTTAAGTTCATAATCAATAGATCACTGTAGCTGTCAGCCCATCTTTCTAATATATTTTTAAAAAATTAATTTGCAAGTGTATTTACTTGTTTCCATTATGTTTTTAACATTCTTTTTAAATAATTTGAGACAAACAAAAAATAACATAAATAAAAGTATCTGGAACTGGTCACCAACTCACCGCAGTCACTTTTGATTTGATTCGTTGCCAAATCTGAACTAAAGACAAGTTAGAAGAAACTTTGTTTCTGTTCCAAATTCTGACCGTGTTGTCACCAACACCAATTGCTAAACAACCTGAAAAAAAAAAAAAAAAAAAAAAAATTATATATATATATATATATATATATATATATACTAAAGTGTGTGTGTGTGTATATATATATATATATATATATATATATATATATATATATATATATATTTTATATATATATTATACACACAGACACACATAGGCAGAGTACATTTTAAAATTTCATCCATACAATTTTTTTTTTGTCAATAGCAACACACACGTTTCTTGCAAGTTTTAAATGAAAAAGACAAGACCAAACACTAATGGGAGAGATAAGAATTTGAGAGGTTAAATCCCAAGCAACTGATAAGAGAGTCCCAAACTGAAGAAAATTGATTAAACTGAGTTCATTTACAAAACCCAATAAGGATCCGTAATCTGGCATAGGCAAGGAAGTGCAGTCCTTATTTTCAATGCAATTAAGAATTGAATATGAAATGAATTATATTATTTCCATTCAATAATCAGAAAATTCATAATAAAGATAAAAGGACTACCTGTAGATTATTGAATGGAAATGATTATATATAATTTCCATTTAATAATCTACAGGTAGTCCTTTTATTATTCCTTATTATTATTATAATAAACACATTATGTAAAATTAAGAGATAACAAAAATTAAAAAGTGGTGGGGGGAATAGAAAACTAAAAAGGGTTGGATAGAAAATTAATGTTAAAAACTCAGGACGAAAATTGAGTAAATAAAAAATAAAAAAAAGAAGAGAACAAATGGAAAGAAATCTCAAACATTTTAATATTTGATCCAGATTCAAAGAAAAAAAACCCCAATAAAATCAAAGATATCTCAATCAGATAAAATTAGTTTGTGAATTTAGTGACAGTCATTATGAGTTCAATCACTGAACCAGGCAGTTTGTACTTGGACTCAGTGGAAATGGATGAGCAATAACTGAACAGTACTAAAAATAAGAACTGAAAGAGATATCCCTAGACATGGACAACAGAACGAGAAAAGTCTACCCCTTACAGATTAAGTAAAGAGTTCAATTTGGAATTCCCTGTAGGTTACCCAGACTGAAAAACACCTGATGAAGGCCAGAGGGCACAATGGCTGAAATATTGTGATAATAACAACAAAGATGAGGACAATAGTCAGAATGTAAATAGTGTAAATAAATAAAAATAATAATGTACATTTTCCAGGATAAAATAGTAGGAAATATCTTCCTGGCTGATTAACAATAATCCTTCAAACAAAAAATGTTGATTTAAAGCTTTCCAATTATCAATAAAGATTTTTCACTTGACATTTATTTCAACCACTTTCCTTTGATGATTCAGACAGAATAACTTTTTAAACATTTTGCCTTCTCAAACAAAAGAATCTTCTTATTTACTAAAGACAAGCTTATTAACCATTATAATATACCAGGCAATACTAAACACTGATTTTGAACTTTATGACAGCAGACTTTATGGTCAAGTCCTTGATAGTACAGGGATATGTTCCCGAATATATCACTTAGATGACTTGGCTTCAATTCTTCCTTTAATGAAGTGCAATCAACTTAAATTTTTTTTTTTTAATTTTCTCTGCATGTTCATAAATGAAAAAAAAACCAAAAGGACAGTGTGAGGTTCCACTGTTAAGTTTTATAATAAAAGATTATGCAATCAAATCTCACCTGTCATCTCAGGTTCAATCACTTTCACATTGCTGTAACGTAGCTGCCCTGTGCCTTTTATATAAATATTCTAGACAATTACATTCCAACAGTCATTAATGTTGATGTTTGCTAATATACATATATGATGATGCAAATAAGTTAAAAAAAGACCTTATATATTGTAAGAAAATTGATGTGGTAGCTGAAGTTCAAACTAAAACAAACAAATTGTAAGTCCAATGTCAAAAATCCCAATACACGTAAGCAGCTATAAATCCACTACACTGTCCAACAGTCACAAAAAAACAAAGACCTCCCACCCCCAACAGCCATCTCATCCTGATGCAATACGACATCTTGTGTGGAAATGTGGCGAATAAAAAGAAAACAGCAACCAGCAAGTAACTTCAAGCTCCCCCAACTGGTATGCCAACCTCGTTCCTTCTTGAGTTCTGTCTCAAAATCGCACTAACAGACTTTTCTAGACACCAACCGTGAATGTCACTCAAAGAACTCACCCACTGGGAAAAATTAGTTGCTTTTATATTTGTCCATATACCCATAATCCCTTGCATCTTCATGTGATCCCATAATTCATTGCGTTCCTGTCCCATAATGCATTGCATCTTAAATGCAATGCAAGTCCCCGCTCATTCTTTTACGTTATCTGGCCGAGGACAGATTACGGCAGAGCGGGAAGTGCTTTTTTTCTCACTCATTTCAACTGCAGTAGCTTTACATGCTAAACAAATATGGGCTCTTTTTTGGCGGGGACAAGGCAAGTCACAACCAGTTGTGCTTGTCCCAGGTTCTGTATCATCATGTCTGCCACAGGAAAGCTGGTGGGTAACATTCTGGTGTGTGGTTGGCTCTGTGTTGTGGCATCATTTGTTAAACACAGAACAGTGTCAATCATGTCTGGCTGGGATTATGAAGTGACAGATGCTCCCCTTAAAAACATGATCGAGGGCATTGCGGCAAGAATACGCTAGAATGACCCTGTACATGGCAAGTGGTGCACAAACGGACATAATTATGACATGTTGGTTGATGCAAGTTCTCTTGCCACAATGGTTTCAAAGTGAAAGCGTTGTAGAGGATGTGTATTCGTTGCGGCCTGTGAATTATACACAACATATCAATTTAGCAAAATTGGATGCTATCCTGAATGGTGTCAATTTAGCACTGCATCTCTTTACAGATTCTGCATGTGTGCAATGGTGGGGAACAAACATACTCACTGGCAAAGCCAGGATACAAACTAAGACAGCAAGTGAGATGTTGATCCAGAGGCATTTGAGTACTCTTGAAAAGCTGGTCCAAGAGTAAAAAGTTATTGATCACTATAAATTTAATGACGTCAAGTCAGAATCAAGCAGATAAGCTCACAAAAGTACTGCAGTGATGATATTTGATCAAGGAGGAGGCTGAGCCAGCATGACCTACATGTGCTTTGATGATGAATTAAATTTCTCTGGAACAGATAAGTGCCATACATTGCCAGAATGGACATCCCAGTATCAGGTGGACACTGTATTTTATAAGAAAAGTTCATACTACAACATCCAAGGCAGCCATCAGGGCAGTGATCAGAAAATGTAAAGAATACCAGTTATTGACCCAGCCTGAAGTCATTGGCCATGAAGCAACTTAAGTGTGACTGGAATCTGAACCCGCTTAGGAATGGATATTACTCATTACAGTGGACAACACTAACTTATGTTAATTGACTACGGCCCAAATCAATTTGCAATATGGCAACGTCTGCTGCAGCAAGACAAGAAGCATCACCCAACAGCAGGAAACCATTTTTTTTTTTTGAACGAGGCTCACCATCAGAAATCCTAACTGACAATGACAGTATATTTTGCAGTAAGTCCTTTAAAGATTTCTTAGCTGACTGTGGAGTCCAACTTTGTTTCCGTTGTGTGTATGTTCCTGCAGGAAACAGCATAGTAGAAAGATCTCAGAGCATAAAGAGAATTGCAGCAAGAAAATATTGTTCGATAATGGAGGCAGTGTACTGGCATAATAACACGCTGAAGAATGCCACATCATCCACTACTGTGTTTATATAATAAAATGTTACCAACTTAGAGTAAAGGGAATTAGTACATTACCATTTGATTGTTGTAAGAATCACTTCATGTACAGTGTTGGGAACAGAGTGTGGGTGAAAGCTCCCCATGTCTGGTGTACTTCCAGGTATCAAGTGGGTCGCATGACGGACATTGTAAGTCCACAAACAATAATAGTTGACAAGATGCCTTAGCATATGAAAGATCTTTGTCTTTTCATAGACTCTGGTACTTCGATGTGCGATTCTGATGATGATTTATTGTCTGAAAGTGATTTGGTAAGTGAGCTCTGTGAATCTGATGCTTCAACAGATGCAGAGGTTCCAGAAACTCTGGATATGCCTGATGGCTCCTCAGGAGAAGACTCATAACATAATGGATATGGTCACATTACGACAAAACACCAGGGTAAAGAGACCCAGGCAATCTGATTTGTGATCAAGGGGGGAGCGTAATGAAGAAATTGGCTAATTATCTTGTCAAACCAAGTGACAGTGTGTTGCCTGGTTTGACAAGGTAATTTGCCATTTTCTTCACTACATATATTTTATTAATAAACAAATACAGAATGAACAGCAGAGATATAATAAATAAAAAAATTAAAATGCTGTGCTCAATATAGCTAATTTTTCTTATTACAAATTTGACAGTATCAGTCTCTACAAGTAAGCAAAGCAAGAAAAACATTAGAATTATCTGGAATCTAACTAAAGATATACAAAATTGACTTCTTAAGACAAAACTTGAAATATTTTGATTTTTGAAGATCAAATTGCTGTTTAAATTAGAATCCAAAATAATACTACCAAATGAGTTTCTAGTTGATAGGGAAAAATCAATCAATAAAACTACTATCCACCACCAGAATTAAGACAAATTTTACACGACTAAAACCAATACTTCTTTTTAAAGAAAACAATCAGCATTATCAGAGTGATTCAGTATAAATTAATGCAAGTAGACAAAAAATAAGTATTAAATAATAGTAATTCAGAAGAATAGATCTTTTCATAAACAATTTGATGAAATTTACTCATTAAGAGATGAAGAAAAAAAAATCTTTGTTTATTTTTCTTTTTACCTGGATTCAGAGGGACAGCATGAAGAGCATAAACATATCCACCAAATGTGGACATGGCCTGGATGCTTTTCCGATGTTTGAAATCCCAAAATACCATCTAGAAAATAGAAAAAAATGATTTGAAAATTGAGGATTTTTACCATGGTTTGTTGAAATGAGTTGTGATTATTTTTTTCTTTTCTTTTTAATGGTGATCTGAGAAATCACTCAGCAAAAGAAAATGCAGCAATATACTGAAAGGGGACAGTGAAATACAAGCCTTGATCTCAGGGCATTAACGATTTAAAAATGTTTAACCCAGTGAAAAGAATAAAACAATATTACAAGTAAGAAAAGCCAGAAAGTCTCAAAAGATAATCGTGCGTGCAACTCCATATAAGCAGGTTTGGAGACATTAAATTTTAGATTGTGAATTGATCCTATCAAGGGATCTAACTTAAATACTGGACAACATGCAAAGATTATTTGTTGCAATACACTTGATGAAGGACAAAGGCATCAGCTTAAACATTGTTATTGTGGCAGACATGAGACAGAACCTGGGACGAGCACAACCGGTCGCAACTTGCCTTGTCCCCGCCAAAAAATAGCCCGTATTTGCTTAGCATGTTAAGCTACTGCAGTTGAAATGAGGAGAAAAAAGCACTTATCGCTCTGCCGTAATCCGTCCTCGCCAGATAACGTAAAAAGAATGAGGGGGACTTGCATTGCATTTTTATGCAATAAAGATGCAATGCATTATGGGACATGGACACAATGAATTATGGGATCACATGAAGACGCAAGGGATTATGGGTATATGGACAAATATAAAAGCAACTACTTTTTTCCCAGTGGGGAAGTTCTTCTAGTGACGTTCACGGTTGGCGGCAAGAACAGTCTGTTAGTGTGATTTCGAGACAGAACTCAAGAAGGAACAACTCAAGGTTGAAATACCAGTTGGGAGAGCTTGAATTTACTCGCTGGTTGCTGTTTTCTTTATTCGCCTCAGTTATCAATACAAAGATGAGAGTACCAGTCAGAATATTTAGTTGTAAGTTTACAATGCATTATCTCAGAATTCCAAACATTGTCTTTAATTTTATTGAACATTACCAATTTTGTTCCATTATTTACTACAATCACCAGCATTCTTTCAGAACTTTCTCAGCAAAGATCTGCTCCTGTACCTTTTGAAGTCCTTTAAGTAAAGAAGATTGGAAGAATAAAGAAATTAAAATTTTCCATCTAAAATGTAACAAATTTTTGACTGGTCACCAAATAAATGTGTGGTCAAGCTAAAGTTGGTCGCTTGGCAATTTATTTTTCGGTATCAGTTTCCATTTTTTTTTTTCTTTGATACCGCAGTTTTCAGTTTTTAATTTAGTATTTTTGCTTTCTAAAGAAGCCATTCATTTTCTTGTGTAATGATAGCATTTCCAGTCGAAACCTGATTTCGCTTGAGATTGATAAATTTGCAACTTAGCCTGTTCAACTCGCAAATTCTCGTGTATTTCTGGTCCAAACTTAAAAATATTCAATTAGCTGGAAAGAAAATAAAATAATCTTTCTAAATATGTAATTTGTATGTGCTTTTATTCATTGAATTACTATTTTTTTTTTTTTTTTAACAGGGGGTTAAAACAGTATTTTGCTTTGAACAGCCAAAAATGTGAAATATGATTTTTTTAAATTTTTTTTTTAAAACTGAATTTTACATTTTACTTAGTTTCACAAAATCAAAGTGACTGTCTATATTTCTGAGATGAATTATTATGTACACTATTTACATTATTCGGACTATTGTACTCATCTTTTTCACCATATTTATTACGTTTCAACCTCATCTCAGAAATATAGACAGATGCCGAAGGATCGGTACAGACCCAATATACCAAAAACATGGAGACAAATTGAAAAATCCTACCAGAAACTGGCACGAATATCAAACCATCTGACATTCCTACACTGATGCAGAGATCTACAACTCATCCCTTCAGGCTTGGCACCAAGACTACCCATTAATTCAAGGAGAGCCAGTCTGGTCACAGAAAAAGTGGAACACACCCTTGTACAAAAGAGAGAATCTAGTACAATCAGTGGATAAAACAGAGACTACAAGCTCATATCTCCCAGAGGCTCGAGGATTTCTTCAACAGAATTACCAATGAAGAAGACCAGAGTAGGATCCAAAATGACCTGGATAAATCCTTCAGACATAAATTCAATGTAGTCAAGGCTCGCCAAGTACAAAAATTGAACAGATTGAAAAATCAGAAGGTGACGCACAAGGTCCATCACCCACCAGTGAAAGCAGTAGTCAACATCAGCTAATATCAGGAAGAGTCAGTACTGAATAAGGATCTCAACCTCGCCACAACCGTTGGGCAAGTGTCATACTTGGACATCATTGCCAGAGTCGAGGAGGTGGCCTTGAACTTCCCTCAGGCTCAGGCGGATGAACTGAGATGGAAGGTGAGACAGGCCTTGGAGAAGGCCAAGCCGCCCAGGTCAAACATCACGAAACTGGAGAGGCTGACAATCGGATTCCTACATAGGAACGAAAACATCATACTACCGACTGACAAAGGCAATGCGACTGTAGTGATGGACAAATCAGACTATACAAGAAAGCTGAAAGACTTCATTAGCAATGGTAGCTGCAGCAAAGGAAAGAAGGATCCTACAATGAAAACAGAACGCTGTCACAGATACTAATCAAGAACAAAGATCACTTTGCATCTAAAATGTATAGGCAGTTAACACAGCGTTACACCAAGCTACCTCACATATACAGTCTCCCTCAGATTCACAAAGATGGTATTCCACTCAGGCCAATTGTTAGTTGCCAGAGCTCTGTGTGCCACCCTCTGAGTTACTTCCTTGTAGATATAACTGACCCATTGATCGGAAAGTCTCCTTCATATATCCGAAATTCCACCCACTTCATGAAAATAATCAAAGATGCTCCCATCCTACCCAACCAGATGGTGAGCTTGGACATGGTAAGTTTGTTTACCAATTACCCATGGAGGAGGCACTCTCAGTAGTCAGATTGGCCTCTGACTAATCCCTAGAAGAACGGACCAGTATTCCAATAGATAATCTGATGGAAATGTCGACTTTCTGTACACAAACAACACACTTCGGAATGGGATCACACACATATCGACAGAATGAGGGCTTAGCAATGGGCTTGCCATTATCACCAGCAATGGTAAATATATACATGGAATACTTTGAGGAAATGGCATTGGAATCTATATCTCTAAAGCCAACCATATGATTAAAGTACGTAGATGACACCTTCATACTCTGGCCACACTAGGAAGATGTTCAGGTTCTACTGGACCATGTAAACTCAATAAGGCCTTCAATACAGTTCACAATGGAGAAAGAGAGTAACAACACACTTCCATTTCTGGATGTTCTAATATCTCAAACAGAGTATGAGTCCAAGACATTCGTATACCGTAAACCAACATTCACTGAACAGTACCTCAATTTCAACTCCCACCATCCATACAGCATAAAGAAAGGGATCGTCCGCTGCTTACAACACCGAGCAAAAGTCATAAGTGGCAACCCAGAGACATTAGATAAAGAATTGGTCAGTATAAGTATTACCCTACAATGTAACAACTACCCTGGGTACATGGCAGCAGCCCCCAAAAAACTGGGATAGGTGGGTACAAGAGGAGGAGGACAACAACACTCAGAAAACAGTCTGCCTATCTTATGTGAAGGGGTTATCAGAGAAAATACAAAGGATCTGCGGTCCATATAACATCAGGACAACCTTCAAAAGCATGGATGACACTTCGCAGCCAAGTAAGACCCCCCCCATAGAGGAGAACAGGACTAAAGACTGTGTGTATGTTATCCTGTGCAGCTGTGTAAAGAAATATAAAGGGGAGACAATCCACCCCCTTATGGTAAGGCTTCAAGAACACCAGAAGGTTGTAACATGAGGGGAAGTAGAAAAATCAGGCGTGGCTGACCACATATGGAGAGAAAAGAGACCAGTGCCCTCTGTGAGATCAGGTTGAAATCATAGACAAAGAACAAATTGGAAAATTCGTAAACTTAAGGAATCAGCACATATGCTAGGCCACAAAAATCTCCTGAGCCAACCAAGCATAGAAATGAATAGAATATGGGTACCAGTAATAAGGAGTGCCAGAGAAAAGCGATAATAACAACAAAAATTGCAATATGAGCTCTGGTAAAAAATGATTGCTGAAGACATTAGGTTTATAATACCCAGAAATTCATACATACATGTCCTCAAGGACACATGGCACAGTGGATAAAGACATTAGTTAGATCCAGTGACAGGACCCAAAGTGTGAGTTCAATTCCCGGTTAAGGCAGTGGAGAACTTGGAGATAACTGACAACCGACATCCATTAAACATGGCACATGGAACTAGAACAGTCTACCCCAGTGAGCGAAATAAAGGGTTCAGTTTGACATTCCAATCATCCGGAGCATACAACAGCCAAAACATTGTAATAGTCCGAATAATGTAAATCTTTATCAATATTCTTGAAATTGTACACTCATTAAACAACACCTTAAACTTCTGACTTGTGGAAGTGAATTTCTTCAAAAATTATGAAGCAACCAGAAGAAAATAATAATAAAAGAACTTTCAAATTATTGAAATTACTGTCTTGTTGCGTAAAATAAATGCCCCATTTGCTGTCATTGTGGAAGTCTGTTAACTGGTGCACAAGGGATCAATATTTGGTTTTAAGCAAGGGTAATTAAAATTTATAGACTTGAATTGAAAACTGCAAATCAGGGTAGGTAAAGTAGGGATTGTTCACCTAAAGTCAGTTTTTAAGCTTAAAATAGAATTCGGGTTAAAGTTTAAACTTTCAAATAAAATGTCAACTACAAATAACTACCATATTTATTAAAAAATTGTTAAAATACAAAAGAAATCATCGCATAAAATGTCTATATTTGTGTCTTTGGGAAAAACATTTTTGAGAGAGAAAATGGTGTAGCTCTCCAGAAATTACTTTGTGACTTTTAAAAAAAACAAAAAAAAATGAAAGCCCTCATGTTTTTAAAATAATTAAAAATATAGCAATTCTTTTCTGGTACACC